CGAACTTGCGTTGAAACCGTACATATCGGATATTGTTTGAATAGTTGATTAAGCGAATGTCCTAGAAGTGTCATTACCATATATGAATACCTGTAATGATATCATTTTAATTCATTTAATATTGCTTAACAATCATTAGCGCATGAAACTGTTCATCATTTAAAATCTCAAAATTCAATGATTGATGTCGAAAATATTAACCATAAAGAGAAAATTTTTTTTTTTGCTAAAATTTAAAAATATAAAAAAAAAAAAAACAGGAGGAAGAATAGAATGAGTGAAATTCTAACGTTTCTTTTTTGGCAGATTGAAATAATTGTACTACATATTTACGACCTTCTAAACGTTTGAGTATCTACATTGATATCATTGATATTAGTGATATGATAGCAGGAATGGAACTTTTCTTAGTATCATAAAGATTGTACATTAAAGAGATAATCGAAACCATCACTCAAATGAATTTTTTTTTTTTTTTTATTGAAAATATCTCATTTATTACTAATTTCATCAAGAAGCTGTACAAATTATTTATTTCGCTTTTTGATTTGAAATTTAATTATTTACTTCATTTTTAATCTCTTCAAATTTAATCTTGCTAAAATAAGCAAATGCTAATCCTGAAAAATTCTGACTAATTTTAGTTTTGCTTTTTTATAATTTTTAATTTATTTAAAATGAAATTAATTCATGCTTCATGCATATCTTAGTCATTCCTTTTTCATGTTCTTATCTTATCAAATTTATCATTAATAACTGCAATTTCGTGCTGCCACCTCATTTATATTCAAAAATTAGTTTCAAAATAAAAATTTATATTGCTTAGGAAGAATAATCAGCTTATGAAATATTGGAGGAAATTTTTAGATACCTGCACTTCTAATTTCAAAACACTACCACCTTGAACAAAATTTGATTCAGCTTTTAATGCTGCCTGAAATATTTTTCCAATGTTTCTCAGCTTTTATACCTTTCTCTAACTAATTAATCTGCAAATAAATTATTAACGAGAAATATTAATTGCTAACTTTAGCAAATGTTTGAATATCTTCCACTTTGTAAACTGCACCGCAACCACCTTCACCTAATTTATCAATGATCCTCCAACGTTTACCAACAATCAAGCCTTTTTCAAGATCCTGTGGGCCTTTGGTGGTTACTGAAACTTGCAACGAACTATGTGATTCATACAAAATTATTGTTTGAAAATTATTCCTATAATTAAATATATTAAAGTTGAATATTTAAAGACGAGTTAGATCTTTTTCTTTCTCGATTCATTTATTGTAAAAAGTTTGTTTAAATATCAGTATTCAGAATTTTATGATAAAAAAAGCCCATGTAATTGGCATCTTTTTCTTTCATTTTTCTTTTTGAAAAAAAAAATTTGATCGAGAAAATTTTAATTTTTTAAATCGCTTTTCATTTAAATGGATTAAAAGTAATTATTTCAAGAAATTTCTCAAAATATTTATAAAATTCTTGGAATTGTTTCAAAAATTGGATATGCAAATATTTTTAACGATCACTCAGTGACATTAAGCAAAATCAAATAAAAAAAGCATACTTGTTGACTTCTTTTTTATCATCTGATAGATGTAATATTCGGGAATATCCTTATCAGAATATAATGAAAAATTAGAAGAACAGAAGCAAATTTCACTCCCAGTCACAAAAATTAAAATATGAAACAATAATTATGTTTTGATAAGTTTCTTGCATATAAATATTACACGAAAATTAGCCTAAATTTATGAATTTTAAATAAAAATTATTATGAATATTTGCCAGTCCTTTTTGCAGTAAGTATGAATAACTGGGACAATTTTGATCATTTTGGCTTAGCCAAGCTTCATTTCATTTCTAGACTTGTTTTGCATTTTTGTGATAATTTGGAAAATTTTTATATTTGAAATGATAATGACAAGTAAGAGCAGCAAGAAAAAAAAAAGTTAAATTGGTATTGTGAACAGAATTCACAATGAAATACAGAAAGTGTAGATGAGGTTAATTGGATATTGTTAGCTTTTGTGAAAGCTAATCACTTTTGTCCTTTTTAAAACAAAATTGTGTATGCTATTCCCAACACACTTTATAATCCATTTTTAGTTCAAATGACAAACATTAACTTCAATTTCTTTCTGCTAAAACATTATTTTTTTCAGAGGAAAATAAATTGTAAAATAAAAGCAGCAAGTAACAACAATAAAATGAGAAATTGTATTAAATTATAAAAAGTTGGTGAAATTTATTGAAGAGTGTATTTCAGTGTTAAACAGCAAATTTCAGGAATTGTTATAGCACCACAAATTTCAATCCAAATATATCATTGATTTTGCGTCAGCTTTTTTTTTTTTTTTTTTTTGAAATCATTAATAAACTTAACACCTGTAGAATACTCTTTATTGCTGCGTTTGAAAAACGTGATCACACGCAACATATGATAATAAATGAAGAAATTGATCAAGAAAAAGTTTGTTATTACATCAGGTGTGATTTTTGAAAAAGTTAAAATAATTTATACCGAATAAACTAGGCATATCTCTTTTTTTCGATTTCTCTATTAAGTATACATCAATTTGATGAAATTTTATTCGAAAAAAAACTTAGGCGAACAATTTTGAATAAATCATGTAAATAAACGAATAAAAATTAATCTGAAATTCTCATCAAATGTTAATATTTATTATGAAACAATAACAAAAAATGATATGATATCAAATCAGAATTAAAAATCATTGTTGTTTTGAAAGAAGTGAACTGAGTAAGTGATAATATTCACCGCGACATATTTTCCCAATATCGAAGATGAGTGAATGATTGTAATGTTTGCTATATTCATAACAAATATTTGACAAGTCAATCTATAAAATTATACTTAATAAATTGTTATTTAATATTTTCTGTTTTAAATTCAATTTTAATAAAATAAGAAATTAAAAAATAGTACTGATTTGGTAAATTTATAACAAATGATAGAAATAATATAAGAGATTTTCGATGTCAATTTTGCATTTTCAATTTCATTAAATGTACATTATGTTTACGTCGATGGACACTCTGTTTGATGAATTTAACATTTCATGTTATTCATAATTAAAAGAGAGAGAGAGAGAGAGAGAGAGAGAGAGAATCATTGTATTTTCATGAATCAAATTATAGTTAAATTAAAATAAACAGATTGAATATCTTATTTCCGGCGAATTATTTTAAAGAAATGAAAGCAAAAAAAAAAAGTGAACCTCATTCCTGCTTACAAGAATCCTTATGATTGTTTTGTGATCAGGTTTTGAATTACTCAGTGCATTATGTAATTTTTCCGCAAAATACCATTGAGTGTTACGAGATATTTTCACTGAAAAAAATGATAAAATTAATTCAATAATTATTAATTCAATAACTATTATTCGATGTCAAAAATTTGATACTGTGCAATGCATAAATTAATTGAAGTTAATTAAATTATTTGTTAAATAATCACAATTGCTACCGAGAATTACGATTATTTAACTTTCAATTCCATTGAAATTTCACATAATACCTATGGTAAGAAGGATATTTTTGATATCGCTTGGAATATTTCCATTGTAGATAATTTGCGTTTCAATGAAATGTCCATTACCACCAAGTTTAGCGTCTATTTTATCAATAACTGCAGCAATATGTCGCCATGAATGACCAATGAAAAGTTTCTCAAATAGCTCCACATTATGGCCTATCTCTTCCATTCCATTTAAATCCTACATGAATAAAGCTGAAGCTAAAACTATATAATGAACAAGTAAGTATATTTTATGAGTAAAAGAACCGAATAATTATTTAAATTTTCCTTAATTTGCAAAATTTAATAATTATTTTAATTTTTTTTTAATTCTTCGAAATGTAACAATTATTTTAATTTTTTCTCCAAATTCTTCAATTTCTTCTTAGCTGACTCTAATTTTGATCCATTTTGCAAATTGAAGAATGTAGTTAAAATAATATGATTATTTTAGCTAAGAAACAATCAAGAAATAAGCCGCTTCTTCTATAATAATTTTGTAAGCTATTGTGAATGACCAATAAGTTTAATTAATGGATTGATATTAGACAAAATTAAATTACTAATTAGAGAAGTTGATAAATCATCAGTCAAATAAATAAACAAATAGGTAACTAATATAGAAGGATGATTAATATAAAGTAACATAAATAAATTATTTATGTAAATAAACATAAATAAATTATAAATTATTAATAAATTTATTAACAGGTGGATAATTAATATAAAGTAATATAAATAAATTATTTATGATCATTCATAACACAACTACCAATTATAAATCGTTCTAATTAATAACTGTACTACAAACAATCATAAATGATTTCTTATATATTTGCCCATCTAACTTTTATTATTCAATTAATCTCACTTAAGAAATTGATCGATTAAATTTGAATTGTATAATTTAATTCAGTAACTTAACACTTTCATTTAATAGCTACCTTTATAATAAGATCAACGTGTTTTTCTATCAGCATATCAGTTTCATTGATTTGCTCATTACGAGGTGAACAGAGCAACAACTGAAGCATTACACCAAATATTCCTTCCACCTGGAAATATCTCAGATAACGGAACTTGCAGGATGTAAAATAAAATTGACCAAATAAACAATCTCAATTTCATTTATATCATTCTATCGAAAATGACCACCTTAATGACTGTATCACGTTCGAGAGTACTACAATATGTCATTCGATATGCATTCATGATCGCTTTCATTTGCTGTAAATTAAATTAAAAGAAAAAAAGCAAAACAAAAAGAAGTTATGAATTAATTTAAGAAACGAGAACAATATTAGAAAAGTAAACTTGATTAAATTTTTCTTTTTTTTAAATTCGAACTTGTATCGCGAGAACATTAAAACACATGAAAAATCAATTTTCATTTATTCATATTTTTTTGAATTCCTCATTTTTCCTAGGATAAATTAATGATAAACTGATTAAAATATATGAACAGCTTAAAAGATGCAACTTTAGTACCTCGAAAATTTCATAAATTTGAATTTGCATTTGAAATTTCTTAGAGAGAGGATTTCTACTCAAATGTTCACCCATATTTCTCTTTATTTCAATGAAATAAATTATTTGTTAGTAAATTTGCAAACATATACCGTTGTTGTTCGTGTACAACCAATTTCCACTGCAACATCACGATTCAATTTATAATTCTAAAATTTAAAAATTATATCATTTTTTTTTTTTGTTATTTTGCTACTTATCATTTTAAAGAAAAAATTTAGAGATCTAAAATTTAGTGGAAAATTCATAAAATTATAATTCATTAATTCTTCCATACGCAAAGTGATTGATGAAGTAAAGTGGCCAAGTAGAAATGAGTTGGAATAAATAAGGATGAAATAGTATCCAAAAAGAATCCACCAAGTTCATCTTTTAAATCATCCATCAGTATCTAAAAATTTCGTTGTAATTCGAAAGCATTTCATTTTATTTATCTACTCTTAAAAGAAGTTTAATTTCAATTCATTAAAAATGTAGCAAATGGATAACAAATGCTATTAAGTGTTAAATTTGTTTGATTTCAAAAAATGAATACAAATTTCAAATCTAAAAAAAAAATTTTTAAACACATAAAACCCAACTGTCACCATTGGCATATTTGATTAGCAGCAGGAATTGTTTTAAAACAGTTTTGCTGGATAGTGCTTAAGCTTATCATTTATGCTGAGCAAATAATTAGGTGATAAGACAGAACAGAATTTATCAAAAATTTAAAATTTAATTATTCACGATTTAATTTAATTGAGGAAGAAGCAAAAAAAAAAATGCCCTGGAATGCAGATATTCATATGTATTCATGATCTGTTGCCGTTGAAAATTGTTATGACCAACAGTGACCTCAATGATTGCCTTTTCATTGGTATCTAAAATATGAAATTAAAATTGAAAATTGCATGGTTAAATTTAAAATTTTGAACTATTGTTATTGCACCTCAGGTTTATCATTGCAATATTTTTGAAATTAAATAGTTTCACTTTGTGTAGAAATATGCTGTACAGCCTAGATCTTTTCGTAATTTTATCGTAATTAATTTAAATTTGAAAAAATAATTAAAATGATACCAAGGCCGTTTAAAGCTTGCCGGAGTTTTTCGCTTGCTTTTATCGGATGAAAATTATCATCTGATGGACCGGTTACAGTTCCATGGATATTTTTATTCTGTAAAATTGCTAATGATATTATTTCTTGTATGAAAAAATCATTGGAGCTCCATAATGATGTTAAAAGTTTTCATGATAATCAAAATATTTATGATAGCAAATTTTTTTCTCGTATAATGCTAGGCTAAATGTTAGGCTTAGGCTTATTGATAGACTAAATGATGTTAATATGGTTCTCTTGAGGAATTTACCGTACGTGTAACCTTTACCATTCCTTTTCCTGTGATGACTTTTTTTTTCTTCAATTGAATCGATATGATTATTTTAAAGTGTTCTACCTTTCATAGAATATTTCATATAAGTTAGATTTTTTTTTTTCACAAGAAATATTATACTTTTAAATGAATCATATAAATGCAATTGAAAAATCATCAATTCATTTAATTTCAATCAATTTTCTGTTTAAAAAAAAAGTGCTTAGTTGAAAAAAAAAACTTTGTTCAGATTCATTTGATAGAGTAATGGCATAGATAGTTGTTTTTTCACAATTATTGATTGATCATTATTGATCATTTTATCATCATCGATATATTCTCCTTCTTCCACTTCATCCTCAGTTATTTCATCATTGATTCTCATACTATCATAGTTGTCCGGTATATTTGGAATGTTTTTGCTAACCGGAAATTTTGCCACTTTTACCTGGAATATTTAAAGAAAAAAGGTTTGAAATAATTAAGATTAATAAGATCATTGATGAGAGTAAAAAGGAAAACAATGATAAATCAAAAAAAAAAAATTTTTAATGTTAGATGATTTAGAACGAAAAAATGAATCTTTGAAATTATCAAAGGATCAGAAATTTTTAAATTATAGCATTGACGAAGAATTCTAATTTATCATACACTATCATCCGTGCTCGTATTATCTGTTAACGATGAAAGTGATGTTGACGATGATGAATGCATCCTTCGATTGTTTTGATATTGCTTTGGCTAATGATAATTGAATAAGCTGAGGAAATTCTAAAAAAAAGGAAGTGGATTTTTATTATTTTTTAAATTAGTGAAAATTTACAAATAGTATTGCTGTAACCGTTAAAAATGACTTTTATTTTTGAAATTAGTTAAAATTCGCAATGGTGTTTCAATTATAAAAATTCAATGCAAACTATTAACTTGACTGAATTTTGTGGATATGATAATGGTAAGAATTGAAAAGGATGAAAAAATGTAAGATGAAATAGCTATGGGAGAGATTAATGATAATATAATGAGGATAGGATAGGATAGAATGGTAACAATATGCTGTCGACATCTTCATTTTTTTTTTTTAAATAATTGAAAATATAGAAATAATTGAAAAGCTTACCTTAAGCATAAATAGTGCACATTTTTTTGAGGTTTCAGTGATGCGACAGAAGTTAAAGCTAGGCTATATTATTTAGCTGAGGAGCCTACATGTAAAAAGACATTTAGAAATTTTTTTTTCTCTTTTTTCATGTTTATGTTCGAAATGTAATAAAAGAACTTACACATTAACAAAATTTAGCCCTTTCTGTGTTATTTTTTTTTATTCCTTTACACATAACGTAATAAAAAAAAATTTTTTTTTTACAAAAAAAAATCGCATTTTAGAAATTATTGAAATTCAAATGAAGCAGCAAAGAACTACAATAAATATAAGGTATTTTTGTTGCGGTTGATAATTATCCTTATTGAGATAACTTAGCACTTTTAATCCCTTACTATTTAATGATTTAGATTATTCTAGGTTATTTTTCATGATGTCATACTTGAATTGGCTTCTGCTTCTATCATATATTGCTACTGATCAGTGCTATTTGATATAAATATAATTTTGATGACAAATGAGCATGCAATTTTAAGGCGTTAAATGGAAAAACAGATGGGGGATAAATTCCTAAATGAATATGAAAAAATCAAACAATGGGTAGGTAAGCTATTCTAGCTAGAAAAATTAATTAGAAAAAGTATATTGCCTCCCAGACGAAAATGTTCCATAAGCCATACAATCACTTTTACATACACAACTGTTGCGGGAATTAATTAAGTAAAGTGCTTTTCGAAAGCTATTCCCATATTTATACTGATAAAGTCTTTATGGATGATTTCGCTTACGACTTTCATTACCGGAACCAAAGTTTAATTTTTCATAAAATTTATCCAGCTCGAAATAGAGATTATCCTTTAGACATTTCGAACAAACCTGTTAGCAGAAATTTAATGACCATTTTTAATATTTGAAATGAGTATGCCTTATTTATTAATGGCTTCAATTTCTCGAAGCTTTTAAATTTCTTCTTTTAGGCATTTACCACATATTATTGTATAAAATGTAAAGTTCTGCAACAAATGCGGAAGATTTACTAGTACCGGCATAAAGTATATAATACCACGAGATCAATGCTTGCAATATTACAGTTTAGATTAATCAGGTAATTAAATGGCCTCTTGCAGTACGTTGCATCGTAATTGCCAAAAGAAATGCTAAAATTCAAACAAATTAATCAGTGTTAAATAATATTAAATGAACTTATCATCTGGCTTTACATTTTTCAATTGTTTGCATATAGAAAACAATTCGAATTTTAGGAATCATCTTTAGAAACACTAAAGTATCACAGATAGTCAAGGAATTCTCTTAGGTATCCCAAAACACCGCTCAGACATCACTAATAATTTATCTTTGTGTTATTAGGACATAACTTAGGCTTCATCAAGAAGACAGCTTGCGCAACCATCCAACATTCTTCCTTTTTCAAACTTGACTTATCGCAGTGTGGTTTAATTCAAAAATTTTTTCCTTGTTCAAAAGGTATATCTTGCAAAATATTAATGCATGATAAAATCAATCTGTACCGATAAAAGCCAAAACAGCCGTAATAATGAAAGAAAACGTATATCCAACAACTGCTAGAACATATTCACAACCGACTGCTAAGAATACTGCGCTCAGTGTCTGTAATAATTAATTTTTTGAAATCAATATTAAATTTTTCAAAAAATTCGTCAAATCTTTAAAAGATTTAGTAAACAGTGAAGAAACATACAGTGGAAAGAATTAAACATCCATAATTAGCTGATTTGTGATCAAATCCAAAGCATTTAACAGATGCCGTTATAAAAAGAGTGTGAGTAGCTGCTAGACATATAAACATAAGATTCATCTAAAAATGAATTCATCTTTTAACCAAAAATCAAATAAAACGAGATAGGAATATTGCAAAAGCTAGATTTATAAAGTATAATTCTCATTTGTTCAAAAGAATTTATCGTCGTTATTGCATATGGTCGATTTATTTACCCAGATGAAATAGATCCATTTTCCACGAAATGGAGTAAGTGGCATTGTTAGCAATAACAGAGTAACCAAAAAAGTAGCAGTTGATAAAGATACCTTAAAAAAAGAGGAAAAGAAAAATCCTTTTAAATCGAAATTTCTTGTCTTCGTAACACAAATCTATAAGATATCATAGATATTAGATATCGATCAAATTAAAAATAAATTTCATGAGTCGATAAATTATTGATGAGATAAATAAACCTGAAAACTAGTACGATCGGCTAGAATACCCCATCCTATGCGAGCCAAAGCATTACATATTGAAGCTATGCTAAATGCATAAGCTATAAACATATCATCATCAATAAATGTTTCGCCGAATGCCTGAAGGTACAATTTATTGTTTAAGTTCAAAAAATTTTAATTAACTGAATATAAAAAGAAAAAAGAAGAGAAATATATGAAATGTTAGCATTCTCTAGAAATAATGAAACCTTAATATGGCATGATTTCTTGCAGATAGAAATTAGTTGATAAGCTTTATCAAAACATTTTAAAGGTAACAAATGATCTCCGTAGATGCAATTACTGCAGAGAAGTGGAAATATAATTAACCTTGTAGAGATTGTAAAACATATTTCCATAAAATGAGCAGCAGAAGAGAGTACAAAACAACCAATAAAAGGTTGAACTTTGCAGCACTTGTAATGGACTCAACGATATCTGTTCCTGTGATAAATTTATCACTTCATCTTCCACCGAATTCTAAATAGTTCTGCTTTCAAAAAAATAAATTTCAGAAATTTTAAATCTCCATTTAGAAACAAAATATCTTTATTCTCCCCAATTCTGTATGTACTAAATTATCAAAACATATGCTTCGAAAAATTCTCCGAATTGATATAACAAATATTTAAATTTATTAATTTGGAAGCTTTAATTATGCCCTTATTGATCCCTGACTGCAAGCCCGCAATCTTGAATAAGCATATTGTTTCGTACAAACCGAAGTACGTTTATTTTCGAAAACATCAAAATAGTTCCATATTGAAGTTGAAATTTGCTGTTCGAGTGCTTCCGATTGTTTATCCTATAAATTTTGTCCTTAATTTATTAAATTTGCAATTCTTCTTTGTATAGATTTCTTTTCCTTGTAAATAATAATACATTTTAACATGAATATACAAATTTTTGTATTTGAAACTAACCACATCAATGGGATCACAAATAACTATTAAACCAATGGCCTGCATAATTCCATAGACTATAGCAAAAGTATAAAATATTGATGGTACTCGAGCAATAACATCTCTGTCTGTGAAATAACTAAAACGGTTGAATGTTTCAAAAATTTTAACCTTCTAACAAAAATTTTAATTCGCCGCCATAGTTAAAACAACGAGACTGGAAAATAAAAAAAAAAAAACTGCAACTTCATTTAAGTAATTTTCCCAGAACAATCAAGAATCAGTTTCCTTGATAAACTTACGCAAATACAGTCGGTTTATGATTTAAAGGATTGAGATAAACGGTTTGAAGCGGAGCGAATATAGATGAACTGATACCAAAACCAGCTGCTACAATACCAGTCACAAATCCGACATGTTTTGGAGCCCACTATAGAAGTTTTCATTTTAATTTATGTAATAGAATCAACACAGAAAGTCTCATTTTCTTTAGATTATTAATTTTCACGAAAAATTAGTTCTTGAATTTTTGGTAGCTACACTACATTTCTACACAGATATTATATATGAATGATATTCAGTATTAGTATATAGCTGGTTTTAGTTGTGTTATTATCAATCACAATATGATATATAGTATATTATTTTTAAAAATAAATTCCAAAAGAAAGCAAGGTAAATAAAGGTTTTAATAGTCAGTAAACAGGCAAGTAATATAGCATTTTTTTCTTAATAAATCTAGAACAAAAAAAATATTGTTTTATGTTTTTGCTAATCTTCTCAAAAGCTTAGCCTGAATTTGCAATAAATAGATCAGATTACAATAATCAAATCAATGATGGCTCAAAAATAATGTGCTAGATGATCTATTATCAAAAAAAAAAGACAATTAAAGAACTGTATAGATTTATATTGCACAGATACTCAGATAACTACATCTTACGGTATCCTATTTATATAAACGTATGTTCTTTATTATCTCATAAAAGGCTATCTGCTAATACAATTCAAGTTTTGGATAACCATATGTCACCATTTTTAATCTCTAAATGAATAGAAGTGATACTTGCATTGATGACACATGAAACGGTAAGAACATAAGCTATTCCTTGCCCAAATCCAAACATTATTCCATACGTTATCAGAAATGATATAAATGATCTCCTGATCGTCCAGTAGGATAAAAAAACACCAACACTGAAATTTTTTTCTTCTTTTTGAAATGATAAAATTTCTTTTATAAAAATTTAAAAAATTCCAGAAAACTTATTGACATGATGTTTTCCAGTAAATTCTACTTCTTTTTTTGTCTTTTTCGAACTTATTGTTACTGTTTCTTAAATACAAAAAATTCACGTCATGATGGCACATCCTAGTGATGCGGAAAGCCTCAAGCCAAATTTAGCATTCATGAAACCACCAATGATCATCGCGAAAGGGAAACAACCTGAAATAAGAAAATACAATTCATCATGTCTATCTTAATTAACTTTCCGTTGAGTAAGATTAGCAAGAAAATATCAGACTGCAAAAAAAAAAAATTGCACAATTTTATACAGAAACTGCGGTTCCTGCTAAGCAAATTCAATAAAATTTCCAAAGACTCCATGGGAATCCTACAGAATTTGTTAATCATCATAAAGATGCTTACCCTGAAAAGTAGGTATCCAAACCAATATTTCATGATTGATTGTAGGATCTGTATTGTTACGCATGTATGATGCCATATATGGCAACATATTTCCTAAAGTTCAAAACAGTATTTGACAAGTTATAAAACCAAAATCAGCATTAAGTCAAATCAGAGGAGATGAGAGAATCGGAAAACTCACCAAAAGTATGATATGTTCCTAGAGATAGATGTATTAGCACAGCGCCAAAAATTACAATCGTCACACGTGCTAATGGGCTAAATTTGAGAAGACACAAAGCTATCGGATCTTTTGAAATGGGTCCATGCATTTGGTTAAATTACAATCCTATAATTCGACTATTTGAGAATATTTGGATCACTGCCACTTAAGTTGTACAATCTGCAAAATCTTAATCTGAAAAAAAATATCAATTTATTTTTTTTACAGAACAGTAAAAGTAACAACAATGCTATCAAAAAGAATTTCGATAATAATAGTGTGCAATGATAACAATAAAAGCAGTAAAAATGGAGTAATTGAATTTATCCAGCTCATGAAGTAATGAGCCTTTTGTTTATCTAACATTAATCTGTTAGGTCGTTAAATATTAATATTTAATATGTAAAATATATGAAGTAACTGTAATAAAAAAAAATAGTGTGGTGAGACTCTAATATTATAAGGTTTTAGTAATGTAGTAAGAGATAACAAATATAACAAGATGGTGCAATTTAGGTTATGAAATTATAATTGGATACGATAAATAATGAGTTGCTATGAGATAACGAAGGATATGATTATTAGTGTTTTTGAAAAATAATGCATGCAAAATATAAGTGAAATCAAATTCACTAACAAAAATGATGGATAAAATAGATGAATTTATTGAAAATGTGCATAGCTGTTCCAACGATGGATTTGTCAGATAAACAATTCGCTTTACACAGAAAATATTTTGATATGATAGACGTTCATTGCTTCAGCTGAAAGTATAAATTTAGTGTGTAATATTCAAAAGACAAATGAAAATTCGTGACAGTACTTAAAAAATATATAAAATTGAAAATAACAATCAAAAATGAAATTGAATAATTGAATGAATTTTTTACTAATTCTCTCATTTCACTACATGAACTTCTCTTAAGTTTATCCTTTTTTGATCTTATCAACCATAATAGTAAAAAATAGTCGAGAAAATCTCCATTTTCTTTAAAAACTATTAGATAAACTTGAATTAATAGAAAATTTGAAAACAATAAAAGAGAACTTGTTAATGCTACGTTTTAAACAAAGATGCAGGTTGAAAATTGTAACCTGTTTTTCTGATTATCATGAAATCGATCAACGATTGTATTTCTGCCAGTGAAATGTGGCAAAATTCGTTTTAAATGTGCACATTTTGTACCTCGTAATTGCTTGTGCATTGAAATTTCTCTATAATAAAAGTTGCAACATTTATTTTAGAAAGTCAAAATATTCGAATGTTTTTTCTGAAGTATTCAAAATTATGAAATTAATTATTTTTCATGAAAAACAAAAAAAAAATGCCATTGAAATGGAAAAAAAATTTAATTATAGCTTTAATAAACTATTGACTATTACAAAATTAAGATTCATTCATTTGTCAGATATCAATATGAAAAAGCAAATCAACGCAACCATCACATATCAAGTTTTAAATTTATAAATTTTCCTCAGAAATAATGAATGCTATCCAGAATGATTAAGAAAATTTTTCACAATAATTTGTGATATTTTAAATAATTCATTAAAAAGTATGACAGTTGATGAATTGATGATAATCGCAATAAAATGATAGTAAATAATATTTCTCCTTTCTAGTAGTGTATATACTATACGATTACAAATAGACATGATGGTTTTCTCTTTTACGAATTGAGACACTCTCATCAAAAAAAAACACGCATACACTCAATTCTTAATCAATAGCAAATCAATAGAGGAAAGACTTCCCTTACTTTCACCAATCTTCTTTCTCTTCGTGTCATTTCATTTGCATTCATTCACCATGTTTATTTTGAATTTTATGCATTACAAAAAAAAAAAAAAACAAATGAAATTTTGAAAAATTATGCAACAACTTTCAATTGAAATAACTTTTCACATCATTCCTCGCATATTACAAATTATCGTTACATTTATCTAAATATAAATATCAACAATATATTTACCTATTATATGTCGTCATGTTATTCAAAACAAGCTAGGAGATCAATAATTAGTTTCCTTATAAGAGAATATTGCTATTTATTTAATTCAAGCTATATGTAAAGGCTTTCCTCCTATGTAGAGAATCCGATCTTCTCCATCACCATTTTTTTTTTTTTTGTTGACGAAAGAATGCCACCACCACTTGTGTTTTTTTCAAAAAAATATTTTTAAATCCTAAATTTTATTTGTCGTTGAATCCATCAACACTATGCATTCTTTTAATGAACACAAGCGAATAAATTATGACGCAATTGAGATGACTGCCTTGCTCAGATATAACTTAATCTCGATTTTAAAAGATAACTGGGCTCCATAAACAATTGGTTGCAGATATGTGTAAGCGCTTAAAGTAAGCATTGCCTGAAGAAGTTTATATTGCATGCAAATATCAGCTTTTATCCGAACATACGGAAAAAAATGTAACGTTCCTCACTATTTTGTTCTTCATATGCTTTCGGCAACAAATAACTTGTTTTATACAAATCACTATATGAGAAATGATAGGCGTAACTAATCAGTTAAGCAAGTAGATGCATATATGGATAGTGATGAATAATTGATAAGGATATAAATAAAAGAAACATGTGGATAACGGCATCGAGTCACTGCAATGGTGCTTATAATGTTTGTAAAAGAATAATTAGATTCAAAAGATTATTTGTACAAACAGTGAACAAGAAGATATATGGAAGAAGTAATGAGAGAAATCTGAGTGAAATTTGTAGGCTGCCGAGAAAATTTTGAGAAGTAACGAAAAATTTGAATTCATTATCGAATATTCCAAATGTTTTAGATCTAAGGATTTTAATAAGTAATGGATGAATTATGGATTATGAGGAATACCTCAAAGCAAGCATTTTATTATGATCAGCATGATGCTTAGGTAGATTAAGCATCATGCTGATCATAATTTCTAGGAGAGCTTATCATTCTCCATTCCTTAAAGTACACCGCTCATCCGATTTGAAAATTTAAAACATGTTGAAGTGCATTTAAAATAATAATCAAAGTAGCTATTATATTATGAATACGTATGACAGACGAAATGTCTCTAATGTGTTAGACTTTACTTTTTTTCTAGTTCCTAATCTAAACAAACCAAAATTTCATTTCTATTCATTCCACGGCATCATCTCAGCAACCTCCTTATCTTCTGGAAGAAAAAAGTTTGAACCAAGGATTCAAGTACACACTATAATTAGTAGAAGAATTTGAAAAAAAAATTAAAAAATACCTGAGCAAAAAATAATACTAGTATACGCGCACAGAAATAAGTATTAAAGTGAAATGAAATGAGTGGGGAAAAATACTGCTAAACCAATGCACATTTCTTAGAAATTGAAAGCAAATTCCAGAGAAATGATAAAATCTCCATCTCATTTTTAATAATGGAGCAAACAATATTTACCAGCATGAGATGAAGAAAGTAAGAGATAATACAATATGTTACGCTGGAAAGTGCCATATTTAAAGAAAGCCATATTCAACAAATGCAATTAGATTAACAGTTTATAGGTACTTAAATTGACGACCGCTAGCATGCTTATTCAATCAAAACGTTTAAATGAATTCTAAATAAGAGAAAATGCTGATATCAAAAAAGCCGTTAAAACCATTATTCTAGAAAATGTGTACACATTGATGAAAAAAACGCAAGGCCACTTAATTATGCATAAATCTGTTGCAAACAAATTAGACTGAAGTCAGAATCTCAAAGACGGTCTGTTGTCAAATTAAACTCAACATTAAATTTTGCTTACTGACTATCAGCGAAAAATTAAAACAACCATATATGCATGTATATAAGCGGCATCAAATTGCATTAAAAAAATCTCACTCATCATATACTTTTTGCATACAGCAGTACCATATTTTCCAAATAAAATCTCACAACTTCATTTTAAAGAATTTAAGAAATAGTAAACGAAAAACAAAAAATTAGACATCTGCTAAATAAAAATTTCTATCGTGAAATTATACGAATAACGTAAATTTCAAATATGAACAAGCATACGATTTGCTGCAAAAAATAAAGTAAATCAAAATTATCAATTTTCTCTTTCTAGAAAAGTTTTCACGACACAAATTCTTATCAAGCAAAACAATTTCATTATAAAACAAGCAAGTTTATAAAATTAATTTCGAGTTTGGAACACAACAGACCACTGATAGCACCTGCCAGTAAGAGGTAAGCAAATAAAATCGTCAAGATGCAAATACAATTCGAAAAAAAAAAATTGCATTTCATACTTATTCTGTCTCTTTTTGTCTTATCGATTTAATTTGCAAACCATTTTCCCATCTACATATTCAGCTTATTTCTCTCCTGATAGTTTTGTACTAGAAATATTCATTTAAGGTTGTAAAATCTAACGAAAATAAAAAATTTTATTAACGGGAAGGAAAAAGAGAATTTTTTTCCTAAGTTCAATTCCAATATTTGCTAATTATTTCCTACAGAAATCATTTTGCATCTGTGCCTGATTTTTGGCTTGTAGGTCATCTATCTGTTTCTCATTATCACCAGTACCCTTTCCATTACCAATCTGAACTCGTTTTGCTGGTGGTGATGGTTCATGCATATGAAAATAAGTTCTTCGACGAATAGTATCACCAGTAGATTGGGCTAATCCCTCTTCTAATCCTGACATCTGCTTTTCATATTCTGGCGCTGTATCATTTCTTGAGGCTAAAATGTAGAATACTAAAAGCCAGCTAAGTAACTATGTTAACTGATAAATATATTTAAACAGCTATAGGCAAGCTATATAAAGCTAATTGACACAGAAAAGAAAAACAAATTTCACTGTTAAGCAACAATTAAATTAAGGAGACATAAAATACATTGCTGATATTAAGAGCATTCAGAGACATCACCTGCACCTTCCACTGCTTCCTGATGAGTTCTCTTAGTAGGTGATTTAAGCGATTCCTGCCACCAATAGTATTGACGCAGTCTCTGCTCAGCCAAATCGTCAAATCGACCTCGTGCCGGTGTTTTACATGTAAGAGATGAAGATGTATTACTTGGTGGTGTTGTGTAACCGTCACGCAAAGGAGATCCTTCGTCCGATGATGGCAGTTCTGGAGACTTTCGTTTGTCTAAAAAACAATCTTGTTTGAAATTCAAATTATTAAAATATTAGGAAATAACACATTTTCCCATTAAATATCGTAGAGCAAAGTTATACTATACGCTTTGGATCTCATATTTTCATATTTGAATCAAAAAATTTATTAAAATACCTCATAATGATTCAAGAAAATCATAAAATGAATTTCATTTTGTTTCCAAGCACTGAAAAGAAACTTTGACTCTAAATACGGCAAGAAACTATCCTTTACCAGAAATATTTCCTGATGTACTAGGCAGTTCATAATCATCTTCAGCAATAATCTGCTTTATTTTAGAAAACCGCTGTTCAAATTCGTCTGCCTGTAAAGCGAAAAACATTCGACGAATATCAAATTAAGAAAACAGCAGCCTCATTTAAACAATAGAAAAGCATATCATAAAAAATAGCAACAAACGTTACAACTACATGGAAGCGAAGAAAATGAATTAAAGAATGAAATGAAGCAATCACCTTGTCAGAATTCATTTCGCTTGAGGTATATTGGGAATATTGGCGTAAAATACTGCAGTCCTTTCTGAAAAACTTTATCAACTGACTTGAAACTTTTACGAATTCCTATTTTTCAGCAGCAATATCTGCCGCTGAGTTTCTTAGTACTGGCTGCGAATACAAAAAGCTCATGGTAAAACTTGCATAATGTAAGCATAACCTAGCAATGTAGAGATATTATTTACTAACGAGAGTTGATCGCTGAAATGGACATAAATTCGCTTAATTTACTCGCAGATGAAAAAGGATAATCTATGTAATATAAATGGATAGTTCATATGAAAATATAAATGAGATATAATAAATTTGAAACATCTTATACTCACTTTCCAAAAAGACTAGGTTTTGGTCCAAATTGATAGAAAGTAACTTCGTTGCGAAATAAACTGGGTATATTTGCATTGTTTGTATTGTCAGCAACATCACCTGCAGAAATGTTAAGTGAAAAAAATACACCTAGTATAAAAATAACTTATAAAGAAAATATCAAAACAAATGTTCGAAAAATATTGAAAAATTACTTTGATCAAATTCACAAACACTTTCCACACTACTTGGAGAGGAAGTGTCAACATCCATCCTCGAATTTTCTTCAGTTTCATCGAAATGTGGTTCTTCATTTACAGATGTTTCCATTACATTAATCCGCTCATCTTCATTTTGACTCATCATTTTATAATCGCTCTCAGTTTCAGTATCATCGTATTTGTAATCTCAAATTATAAATGATAAAAAAGGAATTAAATCATCTGTTACCTTTTGAATATATTTGAATATATGGATGTGTGGTAATTTTTTGACGAGGGCAAAAAAATTGCACAAGTAACGTCAAAGCGTGTTTTACTTCACTTGCTAGATATTTTTTAACAAGAGCTAAAAAATCACCCTCATCGTCTTCATCAAATCTTAGTTCCAACCGTGAGGAGTCAGTGACCCGAGGAATAATTCCATTTTTAAACATCGGAGATTCATCAGATGTCTGAAATTATCATTCATTTAAGTTCTATTAAAAAAGAACATTACTTCATCATATAATTTAACTTTTAACAAGCTGCACGGTTTCATATGACAGCTATATATAATTTTGCAAAATTAATCATATATTTCTTATTGCTTACAGCTTTGAAGATATGACGAAATGCACAACGTCGACGACGAAATAAATACATTCTTTTCAGATAAGTTGCTGCATGCATCATTGTGCTACGTTTCGGTTGTACAATCCACGAAATGGCGAAAAGAGATGAATAACCAATTGTTAATAGTATCCACCACATATTATGTTTAAGATATTTATACTGAAAACTTATTTAATTTAATAGTGAGACCATCATTCTATTTCAATAATTATACATAAATAAACCATGTAGTTACCGTGGAAAACAAATAAAATACATATATAAATAATTAGGAAATGACTTAATCAAATAATACCTGGCGTTCATGAATGCACTTCGCTAACATTGGGATGCAACAGATTTCTTCAGCAGTAGGTCTTTTGCTAGGATCTATTTCTAGAAGAAGCAAAATGACATCCAGCAAAGCGGGTGGGACATCTACAATAGCATACAGTGTTTCGAAGATAAATAAGAATAATTATTATTGCCTAAAAAACTGAAGGAAGAAGAATAAAACGTGCCTTTGATAAATTCATGATAAATCTTTTTGCACCGAAATCCCTGCCAAAGATCTCCTGTAGAGGGCAATTCAAGATCAGTACAAATATCAATCATTGTCATTCCAAGCGAAAATATGTCACTTGGTTTATGAGCTCCCTTCTGCAAGACTTCAGGTGCCAAATATTTTCCATCACCTTCTTCTTGTCTCGAATCCTAAAAAGTAACCAAGTTATAAGATCGATCAAGATTCATGATACTGTATCAGATTTTAAATAAAGAAAATAAAAGCATACCTTTTTTATATCAATAATCAATGAGAAATCACCAAGTTTACAAACTCCGTCAAAAGAAACCATGATATTCTGTGGTTTAATATCGAGATGAAGAAGTTCGTGACTGTGCAAGTAGCGCACTGCCTCAAAGAAAGATAAATTTTTGATAATTGTAAATATAACTTTAAGATTCAGCATCGATAAGAAATTCCAAAATGTTAGGCTTCCAGTACAGTTGTCTTTTCCGTTACAAAGTAACAAAAACAATATTAAAGAAAACAATCATAATTTATCAGGAATGCGAGAAATAAAATCTTAAATTATCTATTTGTAAATGAAGTACCATACCAATGCAATGTCTCCAAAAAAAAGCCATAAATCTTTTTCGGGAATAATTCCCATCTTCATCTTGTAATCCAGAAGGCTGAAAATAATTTTATAACATTATATATGAATTTTACAACTCGTTGTTATTTGTCTTGACATCAATTTTTACTCGAAAAACCGAACCTGTATTGACACAGTTCCGTTTGTATATATAAAAAACCATATTCCTCCCACGCTCGCACATAAGAAATAAGATTTGGATGTTTCGGAAGTAATTCATGTTTTTGAACTTCTCTCAACTTGTCCTCACGATCTGCTGGGCTGCGAAACGGTTCTACAGTAATTTTAACAGCGTAACAACGTTTGTCATCTTTGCTGAATGCTTTGAAAACCTATAAAAAATTTCTGAAAATAAAATAAAAGATTTGTGAAGGCTTCTGTGATTTTATAAAAACGATTAATAAGAAATTAAATTACTAAACGCAAAATCTAACACCACTATTTCAAATTAAATTATTTTTGGTCCTCTACCATGTAAGCTACTCATTTGTTGTAGAAACATACGTGCTTTCTTTTGAACAAGATGATCAAAAAATTCGCTTTCCTTTCCAAACTAACACCATTTTCAAAAAGAAAACTTATGATTGTAGAGAAATTTTTCTTACCTCACCAAATGAACCTTTTCCAATACACCGTGGATTCGAGAACGCCTGATCAAAGAAACTCATGCGACATCTTTTATCGTAATAATTTGTCTCTATCACTGCTGCAATGAAAAAAATATTTCAAAAATGATCCACAAAATAATGCTTATTTCTTGACCTGAAGACAATATCATATCGCTCGCAATATAAATCTACTCTTTACTGCACAAACTGATAAACTGGATAGCAAAAAATATATAAGTTTGAAAGTTAAATGTGAACGTTAAAAATTATTCTCCATTTCATTTCCAGAAATAAAATCTTAGTCCATAGAATGAGTAATTAAAGTTAAAAAACTAATTTTTTCACAATAAAGAGATCGAATAATTTAATATCTTATAACAATTAATGCAGATATTTCCATAGAGAATATTCGTTTTTATAAAGAATTCCAATAAACGTTCAAGCCGAAACTGTGTTTTCTGTCTCTTTCTGTTTCCAATTACTTAAGAATCATTAAATTTGTGCATGTATCATGAATTCTGATTTTACAACAAATCGACTACATTAGATTAATACTTACTGCAGTTAACCATAAATAAATATAACCTGATTTCTTCTTAAAACTTATGAAAAAAGGGCCCTTTGGAGGGTCTTTATTCGTGAAGCGTAGAAGACGGTAAGCAGATTGCTGGCATGTACGATGGTGCGATATTCTGGTGTAATCAGGAGTTGCCTTAAAAATTAAACATTGTAAAAATTAAGATCCAAATTATGGAAAACTATAGAAAACTACTGTTATCAGCTTTTGCTTGTTGATAAACTGAACAGAGAAGTTTCAAAGAAATCATAACTTCATTTATTTCACTTCATTATATATAGTATGTTATATACAAAGATTGGCAAGTATCTTTTAAATCATTTATAGCTTTATTTTATAGAAAATTAATAGTTCTTAGAATTCTAGTAATATTATTTCAAATTAAGTGTCGTTATTGGAAGATGAATGTTTTTGAACAACCAAGAAATACAGTACCGGTTTTTTGTGGACTGAATTAAGCACGTCCAGAATTCTTGGACACAAAATTTGACCATCAGGTGTTCGCTTCATTTCGTTTTCATTTCCTGCTGCGTCTTTATCTTCATATGTTCGATTCATCGGCGTTCGCTGATCATTCTCATCCGAATTATTTATGCTGGGCTGCTGATGTTGAATAATTTCATGCTCGGTTAGTTTCGTCCCGAGCGACATATCTATAAGTGATTCAAATTAGGATATTCTTTCATTACTTATCAGTTAATTAGTTCCGGCAATGATGTTGAACAACAAAGGACAATTGACAATATGTTTTTATCTTAGTTTTTATAACATGTAATGAGTAATTTCATGCTCGGTTAGTTTTTTCCTAAATGATAAGTAATTCAAATTAGGATACTCTTTCATTTCTTCATTTCTCATCAATTAATCAGTTTTGGTAGTGATATTGAACAAGAACGGATAGTTGAAAATATATTCCTATCATCCTTTTTATAACATATTTTGAAATTAGTTTCTACAATATATAATTAAAATTTTGCTACACAAGGCATGATCGCATATCCAACGAAAGATGCTATTGTATTGCTAAATACATATCACGTTTCTCTATGCAAATGAAATACACAATATTTTTTGCATCAATAAATATAATATCTTAAACCCCTAAAATTAACCTTTCCAAATGATTTTACAAAAGAATGAAATGATCATCGATTTAAAACTGTTACATGGAGGGAACAATTTCAATCGATAATCATTATCTTTTACCGTATACGCTAAGATAATAGCAAATTACAACTGTCTACTGAGAGAAATCACCATGGTAAATGTGAAGCCTTAATGTGAGCAAAATTTAATCAAACTTTCCCAATTAAACAAACACCCCCCAATTAACAAAAACAAAAGAACCCACGTATCGTGCAGGAAGCATCCATGCAAATTTCAAATTAAAATCTAAAATTCCACACAGAACCCGCACGATGTTCTTCACATTGCAGCACTATTTCCTTAACGGCGGTTAAAATTTGAATTCGAAATTGGAATTAAATTAGCTTTCTTAGGCTTCCACTAAACTGAACCACATCTGTATCAAATTTTCAGTCGTCGGATAAGAAATATAAAGCATGGAGCTAAATTCAAACTCAAAATTGGGATTAAATCAATCTTAAAACTGAGTAATTGGTAATTTCAGATCGAGTAATGCCCACTAAGTATGCAAAAAAATGCATATTTAACGTCGGAAGTAACTTTTCAAGTGTGGAAAAAAAGTAATTAAAGATTCCAGAACATTTTAAATTAAGAAAACAAGGGATAATTCAACATAGTAGTTTAAAATTTTCCATTTTGTTATTGCTTTATTGATAAGCCAAATTGCTTCTCTTAAACACAGATATAATGATTCAAGCAAATTTCCGGAATTTTCTAATTCTTTGAATGTCTTTCCATAAAATACCATTCTACTCGAATTTCATCTTCGTGTTTATTTCTATTCTTCCTTTTCACTAATCGGTATCGAAGAAAAAAAAAGAAAACGGAAATCTTTTGCAGACTTTCTTATAAATTGATATCGAAGGATAAATAAAAGCTGAGGGATTGAAATTGTATTTTGATATTAAAAAAAGTTTAATTTCTTGAAATAGAAGAAGGGAATGATGTTAAGATTGTATTCATTTTTTTTTTTGTTTTTTGTTTATTATATTTAAAAGTAGTTTAAAAAATTTAGCCTCTCAAAATGATGTAAATGGTGAAAATAATGTATTAGGCAGAATTAATGAAACATTTGGCATCATTTCGTTGTGATTGTGCTCATGACCTTTGACCGATCATTTATTAGACCGGAATGTATGAATTATATTCGAAGTGTGACATAATCTATGTCTTATCGCAGGATTGTTTAAAGCAGAATAAGATCTGCACGTACTATGGTAACCATTCTTATCATTTATTCCATGATAAGTCATTCTTATCACTTAATGCCTGACATACTTTGCCATGTAAACACTTCTCTTCAGCGAATCTTGCAATGCATTTACAATACTTTTATAGCACTTTACTGACTGCTTAGGTTTTTTACCTTCCTGTAAAGGGTTATAAGGTTATTTCTACTACGGAAAATTATAAAGTAATCATTGTCGGAAAATTATGACTACAGATATTTTCATGTTTGTTCATTTTTTAAATATTAACTTCTTTAAATATTATCAAATGTATGTTTCCCCCGAAAAAGTCAACGACGTATGATTACGCATGATGCAATTATCAAATTATCAATTAAGGATGACCTTTGACGAAAGATGGCAAAAAAACCGTGAAATTGTAACCGATTAAAGTGAACTACTGACTTAACATTTCATGCATTTATCTGTTTATTGAATGCGCTAGGTAGTTGGAAGATATTTTCATTAATTTTAATAATTGACTAATTTTTCAAAACCATTTGCCTGTCTTTTTTCTGATAATTCAGATTTATAGCCTGAGGCAAATCTGAAAAGACAGAGTTTTAGCTGTAGCCGTATTAATTACAGAGATTTTTTGATTCATTCTGGTGAGATAAATTTCTTAGAATCAGGACCGGTTTATAATCGGAAAGATTAGCTGCAGGAAATTGTTTTAAGAAGCAATGAATTCAATATAAATGTGTGCATGCAAATAATTATCAATTGAATTCGCTTGGGATTTAGCTCATCTCAAGAAATTAAAATTTTCCAGCAGCTGCACTGTTTGCTATTTATGCTATTGGATTTCAACATCATTTTGATTTAAAAAATTGAAAAAATATTATAAAAATATTTGCCAGCACCTCAGAATTTAGTTTTTTTTTTCTTTTTTGGAGTCCACAAATTAGATGATAAAATGATGACAGATGTGTAAATCTTCTTCCTGAGCAAATTTATCAATCCGGGAAAAGAAAACTGTGAAATTATTCTTATAGAACGAAAAAATATCAAACGAAGGTGTAAATGCATTGTTGATTATTCAGAAATATGCAAAGGGACAATCAATATGGAAATTTAGATGACCTTCCCTCCATACATTCAGCAAACACTTTCATTAATAAACATAAATGGCTGATAATTTATATTGAATTTTTAAAATATCTGATAATATATGCTTAAATAAATCATGCCAATCAAAAATCCAAGAACAGATATTAGTTAAAAAAAGAAATCTAATTTAATGCATGAATTAGTTTAATTTAAATTATTCTCTATGCTCTTCCTGAAACAATATTTTTATCATATTTTTAAGGTTATTGAGTGAAAAAAATTGCATGAAATTTTTATTCTCTATCTTGTAATAATTAATTCCTTTAATTATCAGATAAGATAAGAAGGATTGATTTTTTTTTTAATGAATTATTTTCAACAAATCCCCTATAGCGTATTGCTTAAGGATTGAAGCAAAGATGCTTATTTCTGTCTTTTGATGAAAATGAATATGATCGGTAAATAAATGCTTTATGGTAATTATACCTAAATGAGAAAATGTGCGGAGCAAACAAGAGAAAAGAAGAAATCAATGGCCAAACATTGAATCTTTCTCGTATTACTAATACATTGATTCTTTTTTTTTTTTTGAATAACGGTTAAATTCATTGCGCAACAAACTCCGCCATTGAAAATTTCTATTATTTTTTTTCTTTCATCCTATCAGTTTGAAATGATGCATGGATGTTTGAGCTTTTAAAATTAGCATTTTGTAAAGGATAGCATAGATTTTTTGAACTATTTTATTGTCACACGGATGCCTTTATTAAGAGTACCGATTAACTGAAAGTGGTAGTTGAAAATTTGATTTCATTCGATCATCTATCATCATTGAGCCAGAAATAGTGAGAATTTGATCTGATTTGACTTGACTTGATCATCTATCATCATTGAGTCGGAAGCAACCAGTTGATGTAATTTAATTTGTTTAATTTGATTACTTCTATCACTAAGTTAGAAGCAGTGAGAAAGTCCATCAATGAATGAAAAGTAATGAGACTGGAAATGGATGGGTATCTAATTTTCTTGTAATTTCAATATCATAATTTATATTTTCAATAAGGAGTTCTGTTTTTTGAAACTGCGCAGGTAGAAATAAAATTTCTTCTTCATCCAATGCAAGTCAAATTTTCAGGGTAATTAAACAGGAATAAGTGAAATTAACAAACAAAAAGAATGCTGTTAATTATTTTTCTAGGAATTTCTAATTTCCTTTTTTTACAATTTTTGAAAATTTTCTTTGGAACATTTAAAGTTTCAAATTTTGAAAGTTATTTTAGAAAGTTGTTCCTGATAAAAACTGATAAGATTTCATTGCGATTGATAAGTACATCATGAAGAGATTGTTTCTGTTTCCTAAAAAGCCGTTAATTATTGTTAAAATGCATTTTCTGAATTTATACAATAAAATTTCAGTATCACAAACTTTGCATTTCAAATAACTGATGGTGAATTAATTGCATTGATAAGAAAACCATTAAGTAAGGCGAGAAAATATATTGTAGCAGCAAACTTTTGAAAAATGCAACTTCATTTTTTGTAAACATTTCACATGAACAAAAAGCTCATATAGTGAGATAGTGATAAAGCAAAAGTTATCAGTTTGTATTCAAGTAGATCATTTTATGGAATGTTTAGAGATTGCAAGAATAGTTCACTTTATTCATGAAATATTCATCTTTTCAATTTCAAAAAGTTGATGAAATTACAATTATTTGTTGTGTTTAAATGTTCTACTTTGAAATTTTACAGCAATTCAATTGGATAAGTTACTTTTAATTTAAATGAAACATTTGCTATTTCATCTAAAATTTAAGCATGTTCAACATTCTAACATACAAAAATTAAAAATAAGCAAAAATAAAAAATTATTATTTCCTTTTTTTTTTGGTAATTTGTGAAATATTTCTTTTGTAAAAATACTACGAAACAGAATGAATCAATAAAAACAAAATTATTTTTTTCAATGTAAAAGGTGATGAAATTCAAATGAAAAAGTTACTCATTTTATTGTTGTTGTTTTTCTCTTCATTTTTCATCCTTTTTCTTCTTTCTTCATCATTTTTTTTTTCTCTTTTCTTTATCGTTACAAATATTTTTGTTATTGCCAATATCATAACAATTTATTATTCTGTAAGGGGTCCAGAAATTCAAATATCAGTATGGGTGTTTTTTTTTTTTTTTTTATTAAAGCATTGAAAAAAAGAAGGAATGCGATTAATTTGC